CCTCAGCCTCCCAAAGTGCGGGATTACAGGCTGAGCCACCGAGCTCGGCTTAACCTTTTTTTTTTTTTGAAAGATAGAGTCTTGCTCTGTTGCCTACACTGGAGTGCAGTGGCATGATCAAAACTCACTGCAAAGCCGGGTGCAGTGGCTCACGCTTATAATCCCAGCACTTTGGGAGGCTGAGGTGAGAGGATTGCCTGAGCCTATGGATAGGAGACCAGCCTTGGCAAATTGGTGAGATCTCATCTCTGCAATAAATCAAAACATTAGCCAGGCATGGTGGCGCATGCCTGTAGTTCCAGCTACTTGGAAGACTGAGGTGGAAGGATCACCTGAGCCCAGCAGGTCGAGGCTTTGGTGGCCGGAAGCATGCTACTGCCCTCCAGCCTGGTTGCCAGAGACTCCAACTCAAAAACAAACAAACAAACAAAAAGACCTCACTGCAGCTTTGAGCTCCTGGGCTCAATCAGTTCTCCCTCCTTAGTATCCCAAAATGCTGGGATTACAGGTGCATGTCACCATGCTGGACTAATTTTTAAAATTTGTTCTATAGAGATGGAGTCTCATTATGTTGCTCAGGCTGGTCTTGAACTCCTAGGCCCAAGTGATCCTCCTGCTTTGGCCTCCTAAATTGCTGAGATTACAGGGTGAGCCACTGCCTGGCTTCTATTTTCAAAACTTTTTATCACTCCAGAAGGACACCCCATATCTGTTAATCACTCCCCATACCACTTCTTACCCCTACTTCCTGGCAGCCACTAATCTGCTTTCTGTGTCTATAGATTTACCTATTCTGGATATTTCATTTAAAATTAATCCTACAGGCCAGGTGCTTTGGCTCAGCCTATAATCCTGGCACTTTGGGAGAATGAGGCGAGAGAATCACCTGAGCCCAGGGGTTCAAGACTTGCCTGGGCAACTTGGTGAGACTTCACCTCTACAATAGATTACAAAAACTAGACGGGCGTGGTGGTATGTGTCTGTAGTTCCAGCTACTTGGAAGGCTGAGGTGGGAGGATCACCTAAGCCCAGCAGGTTGAGGCTGCGGTGACTGTGAGTGTGCCACTGCACTCCAGACTGGGTGACAAAAGTGAAACTCCAACTCAAAAAAAAAAAAATAAAAAATAAAAAAATAAAATTAATCATACAAATTGTGATCTTTTATGACTGACTTCTTTTACTTAGCATGATGTATTAAGGTTCATCTTTATTATGGCGTGTGTCTCTATTTCATTGCTTTTTATGGCTGAATCTTATTCCAGTTGTGTGTACCACATTTTGTTTATCTGTTATCTATTATTAATCTGTTGATGGAAATTTTGGGTTGCTTCTACCATTTGGCTGTTGTGAATAATGTTGCTATGAACATTGTCATACAATCTGATCTCCAAGTCCCTATTTTTAATTCTGTTGAGTACATTCCCATGGGTGGAATTGCTGGAGCATATCGTGATTCTATACTTAATTATTTGAGGAACCACCATGTTTTTTTCCACAGCAGATGTACAATGCATACAGGTACTAGGATTTCCATGTCCTTACCAACACTTGTCATTTTGTTTTTGTAAATAGTCATCTTAATTATTTTCTAGTTTTACTTTTTTTTTTTTGAGCAGGATTTATTGAGAGGACAGGAAAGCTCCCACAGTGGGAGGGGACTCGAAGGGGTTACCCTCAGTTTTACTTTTGTTATTGATTTCTAGCTTTATTTCATCATGCTTGGAGCAGGCAGATACTTTGTATAATTTAATTATTTTAAACTTATTAAGAATTGTTTTAGCCTGTAATCCCGCGCTTTGGGAGGCTGAGGTGAGTGGATTGCCTGAGCCTGCGGGTTCGAGACCCGCCTGGGCAACTTGGCGAGACCTCATCTCTACAATAAATCAAAAATCAGCCGGGCGTGGTAGTGCGTGCCTGTAGTTCGGGCTACTTGGAAGGCTGAGGCGGAAGGATCGCTGGAGCCCAGCAGGTCAAGGCTGCGGAGGCCAGGAGCGGCCACTGCGCTCCAGTCTGGGCGACAGAGTGAGACTCCGACTCAAAAAAAAAAAAGAGTTGTTTTATGTTCTAATAGGTGGTCTATTCTAGAGAATACTAGACAAGAATGTGCATTTTGACAAGAATGTGCATTTTGCAGTTGTTCGTAGAGTGTTCTTTTTATGCCCATTAGGTGTAGTTAGTGTATAGTATTATTCAAGACCTTTGTTTTCTTTTTGAATTTTTTTGATGTTTAATTATTGAAATTAAGATACTGAAATCTCCAAATACTATTGTAAAACTGCTTATTTCTCCTTTTAATTCTATCACTGATTGCTTTAGTTTTGAGGGTCTGTTGTTTGGTACATACTTGTTTATAATTGTTATATCTGCTTGGTGAGTTGAACTTATATCAATATATAACGTCCAATTTTTGCCTTAAAGTCTATTTGTTCTAATAATAGTATAGCTACCTCAGGTCTCTTCTGGTTACTGTTTGCATGGAATATTCTTTCATTTTCAACCTGTTTTTAGGCTAAAGTTATTTTCTTGTTTTTAAAGTGAGTTTTTTGGAAGCAGGCAGCATATTTGAATTTTTTTTTTATTCTGCCAACCTGTTTGAAGTGGTGAATTGAATGGATTTATATTTAAAGCAAGTATTGATAATGAAACACTCAACTTGTTTCATTTTGCTATAGTTTTCCTGTATACCATATATTTTTGGTTACTCAATTCTTTCATTGCTGTCTTTTGTGTTTCATTGATCTTTTTCTAGTGTAATATTTTGATATTTTCTTTCATTCTTTTTTCTGCATATTTTTAGGTAATGTTCTTTGAGGTTATCATAGGGATTATAGTTAACATGCTAAATTTATGATAATCTAGTTGAATTGATATCAGCTTAGCATTTTTCTTTTCTTTTTGGAGTTGGAGTCTCACTCTGTCGCCCAGACTGGAATGCAGTGGCCGCTCCCGGCCACCGCAGCCTCGACCTGCTGGGCTCTGGTGATCCTTCCAACTCAGCCTTCCAAGTAGCTGGAACTACAGGCACGCGCTACCACACCCGGTTAATTTTTTGATTTATTGTAGAGATGAGGTCTCACTGCCCAGGTGAGTCTCGAACCTGTAGGCTCAGGCAATCCACTCACCTCAGCCTCCCAAAGGCGTGGAATTACAGGCTGAGCCACTGAGCCCGGCTGATTATGAATTCTAACACATAACTGGCCCAGAGATTCCAGATAAGGGATTGTAGACCAGTATTAATCCGCTTAAAAAAGAGATAAAGTTGCTATACTGTATTTTTCTGCTTATATGTGCTTACTATAGTAGTGATTGGTAAAATATTCAGGAGAGTGAGGAGTTTTGATTTTTTCATTTGTTTTCCCTACTGCTTTGTAGAATACCTGATCCATAGTAGGTGCTCAATGAGCTGCATGCTGGATTAACACTTTGGTGATGCACTGGCTGTTCTTCAGGCCTGCCATTCGAAGATGGACTCACTAGGACTAGCAAGCAGCTCCTAGGCTATCACCAGATTCCATTGGGTGCCACGTGTGGATTACTGTATTGAGATGGTCTCCTTAGATGATAACATGGTTTGCTTATTTTAGGAAAGAAATTGCAGACTTTGAACAACAGAAAGCAAAAGAATTGGCTCGAATAGAAGAGTTCAGAAAGGAGGAAATGAGGAAACTACAAAAGGAACGTAAAATTTTTGAAAAGTATACTACAGCTGCAAGAACTTTTCCAGATAAAAAGGAACGGGAAGAAATACAGGTCTGCCAGTTCTTTACCTTTTACTTAGGTACTATGGTAAAGGTGACCATCTTCTAAGAATCTCATTAGAGTTATTCATTCATGTAACAAATAATTTGTCTAAGACAATTCATCAGGAACATCCTATACAGTGTGACCATTATGGAGTAAAATATTCTTTTCTTAACTAACAAAGGCTTCCCAGTCGTAGATAAATTCACAAGCCAGGGGTTGGAAGTTTACCAGTGTAATGTTGTATTAATCTTTTTGATCCATCACACACCACCAAATACTGTTGGTTCTGTTTATTTATAATAATTTGGTTTTTTCTGAATTGGAGACTCCCTCTGTCACCCAGGATGGAGTGCAGTGGCACACCCATGGCCACCGCAGCCTTGCTGCCTAAGCCTTCCAAGTAACTGAAACTATAGGCACACACCACTATGCCCAGGTAATTTTTTGATTTATTGTAGAGATGAGTTCTTGCAATTGTTGCCCAGACTGATCTTGAACCCTGGGCTCAGGCAATCCTCTTGCCTCCTCCTCCCAAAGTGCTGAGATTACAGGCATGAGCCACTGTGCCCAGCTATTTATAATTTAAGGTCATATGCTAATTAGATATTTAATTCTCAAACTTATAAACTGAGGCCAAATTATCAGTTCTGTTCATTTCTTAGTTAGAAATGAACAAGATCCGGCCAGGCTCAGTGGCTCAGCCTATAATCCCAGTACTTTGGGAGGCCCAGGCGAGTGGATTGCTTGAGCCTGCAGGTTGAAGAGCAGCCCTGGCAACTTGACGAGACCTCGTTTCTACAATAAATCAAAAATTAGCCGGGTGGGGAATTGGGCGCCTGAAATTCTAGCTACTTGGAAGACTGAAGCAGAAGGATCACTGGAGCCCAGCAGGTCAACGCTGGGGTGGCCGTGAGTGTGCCACTGCACTCCATCCTGGGTGACAGAGTGAGACTCCGACTCAAAAAAAAAAGAGAGAGAAATGAACATGATCCAAGGGATGCAACTGTTGAAAAGATCTAATGCGTTTCTTGCTTAAACTGTAAACCTTCTGCTATAATCCTAGTGCCTCAGGAAGCTGAGGGAGGAGGATCACTTGAGGCCAGGAGTTTGAGACCAGTTTGGGCAACATAGTGAGACCCTCTCTCTACAAAGCAAGCAAAAAAGAACTATAGACCTTCTAGAAATATACACAGTTGAATATGTTGGTGACACTGGCATATGAAAAGATTTCTAAGACACAAAGAACCAACTCTAAAAGAAAAAAATGGGTATTTTGAACTTCATCAAAGTTAAAACTTATCAAAAAAATTTTCAATGACTATCTATTGCCTCTAGCATAAAATGCAAACTCGCCGGGCTCGGTGGCTCAGCCTGTAATCCCGCGCCTTTGGGAGGCTAAGGTGAGTG